CACTACTAAGCCCTTGTGGTCATGGAGGTTCGCCTGCAGTGACTCCAAGGCATGAGGCAAAGCCTCATGTTTGCAGCGGAGGATTAGTCGGTGCGCGAAAGCTGGCCCGAAAACCCTCGTTAGGGAAGTTCCCTTTCCAAAAAAAAAAAAAATATATCCAACCCTCCATTTTTTACTAAATCAGTCTCCATAAGTTACACGCTTAGCCCCAAACTCTTACGAATTCATATTTGTCTTCTTTTAATTAATTTAATGCATTTAGGGTTATATTTTTACTTTTTGCACCGACCATATCTAAATGCACCATTTTGTCGTATTATATATAATGTTCATTTAACATTACATTTTTTATTATTATTTTAGAACAACAAATACACGTACATTTTATTTTACTATTAAACAATATATTTTGTCCAAAACAAAACTTGGACTCATAAATATGATTGAGAAACACCTTTCACATACCGTTAATCTACAAACCTTTTGGTATTGTATTTTTTACTTGGTAGAAAAACAAACTTCAATACACATAATTCTAACTTTTTTATTAGTTTTGAGTAATTTATATCTTCTTAAATATAAAAGACAAATTGTAACATAATATGAAATGGTTGATTGCAAAAAGATGCTAATACTTTCACGCTTTACCAATTCATACAAAATACCTTCTTAAAAAAAATCCTTCTTAATATATATATATATATATATATATATATATATATATATATATATATATATATATATCCTGTAAGAAATTTTTTTTGGTAGTAGGTAAGAAGTTTTTTCTACATACTTTTTTAACGAACAAAAAAATGAATCAATAGATGAATCAAAAATAACATGATGCACCAAAAAAAAAAAATCTCAAAAAAACACACCGATGATTCATTTATACAATGATTTCGTTGTTATTCACTAATATTGTCATAAAAGTGAATTTTTTCTTAATTTACTTAAAAATGAATCATGAAGATGTTTTTTTGGGAATTTTTTCTTGTAAATCATCTTACCTTTGAATCATTTAATGATTCATTTTGTATGTTTGCTAAAAAAATATATAGAAAAAAAACTTCTTACTTTCCTACCAAAATTTTCCTTCTTATTTGATCTTGAGTGTATATATATATATATATATATATATATATATATACACACACACACACACATAGAGAGAGAGAGAGAGAGAGAGGAAGTTAATGTAATAATGGCTAAATTTCAATTCAGAAAACCTTAACAATTTATGTTCTGTATAATATAGCATGTTAAAACACTATATGAAAAAAAAACTGTTTTGTACGAATATACAAATCATTTCCTATAGTTTAAATGTTTAATGATTAAAATTGTGCTTATATCCCATATGATAAAAGTTTATTAAAGTGTGTTCTTCGGCAAGAAAACTTCATTACCATAAACTACAACCTATAATAACTGTTTACAACTATGCGATTTCTTCGTTCTTTAAACATTTAATGTAATAAACTACTACTTTTACTATTTTTTTTTGGGAAGAGATGGTGTTGACCAATTTGAAGGTTAATGGAAAATAACTTTTTCAACATAAAAGAAACAATTTTCTTGGAACCTTCGAGTTTCAATAAGTCCCTCTTTTGAAATAAACTAAACTAAAATAATAAATATATAATTTTAAGTCTAGAAAGTTTCATATTAGTATACATCAGAGATGAGATGTCAAATTGTCAACAAAAAATGTCATATATGTTTCGGGTTGCAAAATGTCTTGGACGATAACACAATATAAGTTGATTGTTTTAGATAAAAAAAAAATATTACATTTTCTATGTTACTATTTACTAGAGTAATGCAAGTAATTTAATATCTAGCACAAATTTATCCTATTTCTTTTACCATTTTATTTTAGGTTGTTTGGCGTCTAGTCTTATCCCAAAGGCCCTTTATCTTTCCATAGATTAGATGGTGAAGTCTCGTCTCGAATTATATTATTTTTTTCTATTAGTAAAATTTTAATGGAGGTACTTTTCTCTTTTATAAAAATCCTGATAAAAATATCTTATAAGCTCTATAATTATCCTTTACACGATATTTCCAAATATGATTTGAGATGTTTATGAACTTTTTGAGTAGAACATATAATTATTTTGCCTAAAATTTTGCCACAAAGAATATATAGAAATGAAAATGACTTATTTGGCCAAAAGACACATGTTATGTGACCACAACCCACATGTTGGTGGCTTGGACCACTTTCAATTATTAATGTGTAGGAATTTGTTAGCAACTACTTTTAGCCACAGAAATCATATAGTAACATCAACCATAAGCTTAATTAACTATAGGTGTCTTTTTAAATGGTTGTAAATCCATATAAATAAGATAATTTTAAGTAATAAGATGTCATAATCCCAATCTCCTAACATAAAGTCATGCTTAAACAATTCCAAAATTTGCAGCGTCGATTACAATGGACAGTTCTATAGCATATCGTCTTAAGAGATAATATTTGTTAAACAATTGCATTATTATATGATTATATCATATGTATGAGTTACGTACGCAAATGAGAAATGTAATCACGCAAAGCAACAAGAACAAGGCTATGCTTTGTGGGCATGTATTATATCAATTCATCTTACATATTGTTGTTATACAAGATGTTTTCTTGGACAATAGTGATAATAATATGATATGATATAAAAGTACTAGTATTATTACGTATGTTTGATGATAGAATATTATATTCTCTCTAAGTAACAAATTATTATACATATCTAATTTGAAAGTGGAAACGAACACTAGAGTTTTGCATTTGAGATTTTTGCCACAAACATTTGAGATTTTGGCAATGTAGTCATTTACTTTATGGGTGAGTTTTGCTTTTGAGATTTTGGCCACAAACATTTGAGATTTTGTCAGATTTAGTCCCTTATTTTGTGGGTTTCAAACTTTAGCCACAACAGTGTTATATATATATATATATATATATATATATATATATATATAGTAACGGTCCCGTAGAGTTTTTGGATTTCAAACTTTAGCCACAATAGTTTTTTATATTTGTAGTTTTTGTCCCTATAACTTTCATTTATTGGCCTGTTTTGTCCTTATATTTTTTGGTTTCACACTTTGGCCACATAACTTTTGTATGTTGTAGGTTACACCCTACACATCAAATACAAAATAAAAAATTAATATAACGAATCCTTAAAAAATATTTTATATCTAATTTTACATATTTAAAGTTTTTGATAAGAAAAACAAATTAAGCAGTTGAAAATAATTATAATAAAAAAAGAATTAAAAAAAATATAGTGATTCACAAGTTTACAACTCTTTAATTAGTTGTGAAACCAAATTCAATGAAAACAAGATATAATATGTTAAATAGATGTGGGTCAAATGGCATACCCAAACATATTTTATAAGAGGATAATGACTTAAAAGGGTAATATATTTTTCGATTTGTACACATTTGGTTAATGAGTTTTTTCGTCCACATTTACCCCCTAAACTTGTTAAACTGTACACATTCAATCCTTATGACCGGTTACTCTAGGTTAGTCGGGGAAAAATGACTTAATAGAGTAACATATTTCTCATTTTGTACACATTTAATCATTAATATTTTTGTACACATTTAGTCCTAAATATTTTTTGTTTCAAAATAAATCATTTTTGTTTTTGTATCCATTTCGTACTTATAAATGATTTCTTTAGGTTTTCTCACGACATCATTCATAAGTATTGAATGAGTACAAAAACAAAAACTACTTATTTTGCAACAAAAAAAAAAAATTAAGGACTAAATGTCACACCCCCAAACCGGAACGGCGGAAACGTTCGGGGGCGGATGACTTCATGTGGTAACGTAACAAATGAATACATAGTAAAGAAAGCAATACAACCATCATATATATAATTGAAAGTTTACATTGTTTAAAAGAGTACATGTTCAAAACCAATTACAATATGATGTCAAAATATGAAATTGAACTAGTGCCGCAACGTTCCTTCTTCAAAAGCTGTTTAGTACCTGTAATTACTGAGTCCTTGGGACATACAAGTAGTTTTGAAAGAGTAGATCAACATTTAAGCTGGTAAGTTTCCACTACTAGAAGATAGCCCTTTAATGACGCGCAAACAATGACACTCGTTGATAGAGGACGCGCATTTGAGCGTGCCCTAAAAAATAATGTCAGTTTTGCAAAATTTGAAGGATAGAAGACACGCATTTGTGCGAGCCCTATAAATAGTGTCCAACAAAAAAAATTAAAAACACAGAGGGCACCTATCATAAAAGTGTGTGTTGTCTAAAACTGTCGCTTTATATTTTTTTTTAGGAACGCGCATTCTCCAATTTCTTAATTGCCAGGGGGAATGAAATCCAAAAAATCAAAAACCCCGCCTTGATACTCTCGTCCTTCTTTTCTTCGTATGTTGTAAAATCCTCTTCAATCAAAAGAAACCCTAAAGGCATTGTGTGTAAAAGATCGATAATTTCATACTTGAAGTTCCTAAAATCTTCATCGATCAAAAGAAACCCTAAAACCCCGCCTCATACTTGAAGTTCCTATAAGCACTTTTGTTATCTTGTTATGTGCTGCAATAGTCTAATTCCTCAACGACGTTGAGGAGGGGTTATTTCCGTTGGTTTGTACTCTATCCCATCGTTTCCGTAATCTGCCAAACATTAGACTAAGTCCAGTGCATTATTCAACTCAAGATCCATCTGTGTTGGGTTGGACTGGTAGTAGAGAGGCAAAGATATCTAGGCCCACAACCGAGAACGAGAAGATCCACATCGTGTTACCCAACTTAAACCCTAATCAACGTTTCTATGGGTTTCCTTCATCAAAACCGTCTCAAGTCCTTCAACGGGATCAAGGGGTACACTCGCATAATAGAACAGAATGGAAAGAGAGACGCAAAAAATGAATTACTTGGGTTTACACGGAGATCTCTTCTAGAGGTAAAATACTGAAATTCGAGTTATTCATACTTTCTTTTCTCAACAATGGATGAATTCCTTGGTTGTATCACTCATATGTTGTTCCAGAATTAACATCAACCGAGAAGACGACCATACGATCTGTACTGATCAGCCATGTGTGAACTTGAAAATTTGTGATGAGAGACATTTATACATGGTTTGGCTCAAAACATTGGGTGAGATCGTACACAACAGGGACAAACCAGCGATGCGTGTTGTATATCAAGGAGCTTCAGTTCATCAGCATCTGTTAGTTTCAAGCGAAGTTGCAAGGAGGTACGAACCTGGAAATCAGGATAAAGGGGATGTCCTGCATGTTAGCTTCTATTACATTAATTCCAATCTCAATACATATGATATATCCTCTCTACAAGTTTATTCAAATAATCCTATTGATTTATATAAGGATGTGAGAATATTAAGTTGTACGCAACATAAAAATGTGGTATGGTTAGCTGGGTTTTGCATTGAAGGGAATCAGAGGCTGTTAGTTTTTGAGTATGTGTGCAATGGCCCCCTAGACATTCAATTACAGGTGAACAAGGGGACACACTTAGACTGGTCATCACATTTGATAATAGTATTTGAAACAACAGGATTATGGTACTTTCATGAAGGTTGCAGGGTGGGGGTGGATAGTTCACATAGACATGCAGCAACTTCAAAGATGATATTCCATTTTTCCAGGCCTACAAATACAGCCAAATCAGGCATCATCACCTACGTGACCAAATTTTAGGTAGTATGAAGCTTCTTTTGAGAGAAGATTGGTGTAACTGAGAAAAATAAATGGATGGGTATAATTAATTTTATTTGGGTGGGTGTGTGTGTATAATATTATTCAAATGAGATTAGGTGTTGTGCCTAGTGCATTATGGTGAGAATGAAATATTAAAGCAGGTTATCAAAATCTTTTAAAAATGAGTGGATGAATATTATCTGCTTTGAAATGTGTTCTATAAGCTTCTCCTTGGAAGAAGAAGAAAAAATAATGAAATTATTTGGGAATCACTAGACTCTTATGTCAAAATGCTTTTGTACTACATAAAGGTCTTGTTTCCTTTTTTTGTTTTGTTTTTTTTTCTCATCAGGTGTTGCTGTTTGGATAAATGATGCTTAATTTTTTTTTTGAGAAAATGAACGGTATACCTGAGAAATGGAAAGGAACGAATGAGGGAAAATTTGTAAAAAGCTGGGACTTAATGGGAAAAGTCTTGTTTCCCTAACTTGCTCTATTAGGTCATTCTTTTTTGCATTAAGTCAAAAAGAAACACACATATATAGCTTACCAGTCAATTAAGTTTATTATTATTATTATTATTTTATTTATTTAGATAGATTGGCTTAGTGTCTTGAGTTCATAGCTTACAAGATTAAGTGGCTTTTTTTTTTTACTTAATGAGGTTAATGTGTTAAGCACATAATCTGGATTCTGGTTGTCTCATTTTTACTTAATCAGAACAGAATAACATAATGGGTTAAGCCAGGCTTAATGTATTAAAATACTAATGGGTGCTTTTTTTTTGTTGCTTTGATCCTATTCTTACAATTGTTGCTGGACTTAGTGTCAGTGATCCTTTTCTTTTGACTCAAGAGAAGAAAGACGTGAGTAACCCAGCTACTTTCACACAAGGGCATTTTGGTCTTTTCTTGATATCTTTTGTCTGTCTATTTCAACAAGCTAGTACAGCAATATCAAGATTTTCTGCAAAGGATTATAGTGATCATATGGCACTAGTGCATGCATATGAAGGATGGAAAGAAGCTGAAAAAGAAGGATCTGCTTATGAATATTGCTGGAGGAATTTTCTTTCTGCTGAAACACTTCAAGCTATACATTCTGTAAGGCATCAGTTTATCCATATTTTGAAAGATGCTCAATTACTTGAGACTAAATCAGGGATTAACACTTCAAGCTATACATTCTTTAAGGAATCAGTTTATCCATATTGTTTTTTTTACTCTTGCAGTGCAGCAACAGAACACAACTATTTAGCAACATTTGATTCTGCTAAATGATCTAGATCCAAGGTACATTAACATCAGCCTATATGTCTAAGAAGTTGTTTTAATTAGAAACAATGAAATGATGTGATGTAATTGTGTGGTGTGTAGTAGCACTGTATCCGGTGTATCAGTAGGGTATGGAATCATGTGTCATGTGAGGGCTCTCTGTACACATAGGACTTGTTTTCAGGTGCTAAGCTTGTTTATCTCACGCATTACAGAGGTATGTATTATTCCTTTTTATAGCCGAATAACTAACTGGAATTTTTCTAAAGCTATAAATATCTTTTTAATGTTGGTGGAATCAGGAGCCATAGTGTCCTGTTTGATGGCGGATGATTCAGGCTCTTCTGGTGTATTTTGCAGTGGCTGTGGTTAGCTTAATGAAGATAGGTCCATCAAAGTCTAGCTTAGAAGCACAATTATTGGAAAAAAGCTTGGTGAGAGGAAGGGGTATTGACAATATCTTAGGGTTTGATTGGCCAGCATCACCATCAACTAAATCCATGGTTAGATCTCTTGAAGTTTTATATTCACTTGGAGTTGTTGATGATGATGCTAAACTCACTTCACCTGTTGGTTTCCAAGTTGCTGAGCTTCCATTGGTATGTTAATACACCATCATCATCATCATCATCATCATCATCACTAAATGCAATAAATTTTGGTTGTTTTTATTTAGGATCCTATGGTGTCAAAAATGATTATAGTATCAGACAAAATTGAATGTTTAGAAGAAATCATCACTATTGCAACTATACTCTCAGTTCAGGTGTATAAACATTTCTCTATGATTATTCATTCTCATGTCTTTAAAATCATTGTTGATGATTATTTATTATTATTATTATTATTATTATTATTATTATTATTATTATTATTATTATTATTATTATTATTATTATTATTATTATGTTAAAATAAATAAAAGTTTTTTCAGTCAATATGGATATCGGTCAAAGGGCAGAGGGAGCTGGATGAGGCCAAATTGCGATTTGCTGTATCAGAGGTGTGTTGTGTTATATATGACTCATAATTTAGTGAAAAAAATAAATAGCAACATACTTTACTTTCATTTATTTTGTGTAAATGTTTCAATATTTTAATAAAATTTTGTGTTGATTTTTGAACGGTAATCATGTGACTTTCCTAAATGTGTACAGGGGATTTCTTTAGTCTAATGAATCATCAAAATGGTGTCACAAAAACTTCATTAATTACCATGCAATGGTAGTAACAAAAGTGTTTCAATTCTCATTCTCAATAGTATTATTTTTTCAAAAAAAGTAACTTTTATTTTTATATATCTTATTTAAATTTTATCCTTTTTTTTAAGAAAAAAGTAATGAAAATCAGAGAGCAGCTAAGAAGAGTAGCATAGAGACTAGGGTTAGCCTTAAAATCATGACAAAACGATATTCAGGTATTTATTATTATTTATTTATTTCATCACAACTCTTCTCATATACATATATATACATATTTTTTTTTTCTGTATATTCATACAAAATTTAGTATTTACAGTGATTTTTGGTTGTTTTTAAGGTACTAAGAAAGGCACTGACAACTGGATTTTTTGCTAATGCGTGTCGTTTATAGGTGACTTAGCAAGCTTAATAAACTATTTTATTAAAATTAAAACAAAAAGTTTGTTGTTTTAATTTAAAAAAAAATAAAAATTAAACATTGTGAAGGCATACAGTCAGCTCTACCAAACTCAATTTTACTTCTTCACTTCTCTGATTGCTTGATACCACAATTAATTCATCATCTTCTTGTTTGTTTCCTTAATTATATATTTTTTTTCATGTAATCGGTGTTGAGGAGAAGCCGTGATTAATGATGTATTTGATTGATCTAGAATCTATCTCGGAGGCAACATCAGGAGCTATTGGAGCTGTTTTGAGCACAACCATCTTGTACCCTCTTGACACCTGTAAAGCTAAGTATCAGGCCGAGGTTCGCTCTCATGTACGACAGAAATACAAGTACTTTTCTTTCTTGAACTTCCCTAAATTCATCTGTTTTGAGTGATCTGATTCTTGTTATGCTGTTGAACATGATTGATTGATTTCTATATGGTTATCTTGTTGATTACTTTCATATGGGTGTTTGTGATCTGTTGAATAACTGAATTTCGTGATTTTATTCTTCTCACATGACTTGTGCCTTCTTCTGCAACATCTATTTTCTCCTTCAAGGTATGAACTATGAACTACAATTTATGATTCCCTGATTCCAGTTCCTTTCATTGATTCCATTCCTGAAAATTATGAATGAGCAATTTACCATGATTTTTTAGTCATTAGGTGTCGATTTCACATACACATGAAAAATTAATGGATCGTCTTTCTGTCATCTAGGATCGCCCCAAATCACGATGCACGCTAATAGAATGAGTGAACATAGGTTTGAATTAGGAAAAAAATCAAATTTTGGATTGGATCAATAAAAATTCTATACTTGGGCATAGAAATGAAGAAAAAAACTGGAAAATATGTTGTCTATAAATCTATTGTTTCACTTTGATTCTAAGTTTGACGGATCATTACTGAATTGTAGGATATTTGATCTTTTTGTAACTCATGTTCTTATAGCTCAAGTCAACAAAACTACTGAATCTTGTAAATCGGTTCTATGCTTTTCATAATTGAAGAAAATGGTTCATATATTTTGCTAATGGGTTATCTTGAAAATGTAAAAAAATCTCACCTTTTTTAAATTGATTGAAATCATGCAGGAAATAGCAAAAAATGAAGGTACCTGAAGTAATAATTTGATGATTTGAAAGTCAATATTAGCATGGTACCAGACTAAAAATTGGGTCGATATCCGAGATCCATATACCGAGAAGATATTCTTCAACGATCTAGTCAGATCCCACTTGAGTAATTATTCCTTTTTCTACACATAATTTTTTGCATTTTTCTTCCGGCAACAATGGCGACTGATATCTTGACATCCACACACTAGTAAGATTCACTAACCTTGTTATATTCATTTAATTGCGTCTAGTGTTGGGGTTCTTTGAGTTAAATATTTTGTTTAGTTGTAGCATTATTGCTCCAATTTGATTGATTTCTTACTCGCTACATGGACTTGATTCATTGAACTGATGTTTCTGGTTGTCGTTTTGGCTGGGATTTTTACATCCGGTGGTTTGGTTAAAGACAAGGTAAAAAGTAAAACTAATTAGTAACGATTTTTTAAATAAAAAATCATATTATATCTAGGGATTTGACAACATGGATGGTAAAAAATATAAACTTCCAACTGTTTCATTCATCATTTTTAAATCTCCGAAGTTTATAGGATCCCTTATGTATTTATCAAGTATTTGATTGTAATGAACTGAATTTTTTTATTATTTATTTATTTATTTATTTTTGCACTTATGTTGATATGTACATGTGTTTACAGGGTTGATGATGAAAGCGAATAGCTCTGAAGTTAGAAGAGGAAAAGGAATCTCAAGCTGAAAGAGATAAGATGCTGCAAATTCAAGTGTTGCATTCTTCATTCCAATTGTTAGTATGAAACACGGAGTAGATTAGATGAATGCAAATTTATATATTGTAAGAAATAGAATTATGACATTAAATTTTATGCAATCGATTGTATTTTTTGTATATGGTATTTTATTTCTATTATGAGACGTTAAATACAAATTTAATTTGAAAATTAGTAAATCTATAAATAATGTTTTTTTAAACATTTAAAATTATGATACGCAAAAATGTGTGTCATCTTCATTTATGACATGGCCTTTCTTGACAGTGATTTTCTTGATACGTATTGCGTGTCATTAACACGCGCGTCGTCTTCCTTTATGACACGGCCTTCCTTGATACGCATTGCGTGTCATAAACGCACGTCGTAAATGAGCGCCATAAATGCGCGTCGTCTATAGACGACGCGCAAAAGCGTGTCGTCTCTCTTTATGACAGGGCCTTCCTTGACGCGCATTTGCGCGTCGTCTGAGCCTTTTATGACGCGCAATGAGCATCGTAAAAGGCTGTTTTTCTAGTAGTGTTCATAAGCATTTAATGATAGTATTTGTATGAAAATGAAATGGTTCGTTTTTGTTCGTAAGTCTCTAGAAAATCCCATATTTCCTACTGGTATAAATGTAGCCTTAAATCAAGACCAATAAATGTTAAAAAGTTGATGTTTTTCCATCTATGAGTAGTGGTTAGAAGTTCCAAAGTTATATCACAATTAGGTTTTTCATGCATAAAATAAATGAACTTATGTAGTATAAAACCCCCAGTATAATTGAAAACCCCCGTAAATCAATGTGTTTTTAATACTCTATGTGAGTTTTATAACCATGCTATTGACAAGGTATGCTTATACACAACGTTCTTCAGGCGTTGGAATGTTCTGACGTTTGTCACCCCAAATGGTGTACTGTAGCTAACAGTCAGGGCGCGGGGTTGTCAAACCCGTATAGATCTATACACAAACACCATGCTCCCCCTCCAAGGGATTCTGGTATATAATACAGGACCTGAAATGTGTACTTGTGCGTACGTGAAGTTTAATGTCTCACAAATCTTAGTATAAAACAGGTTTACGTGTGAAAATGTTCGTTTGTTATTGTATATGAAAGTAGCTTTTTGAAATAGTATTTCCATGTATGTAAAAGTTCGTAGTATTCTCGTAAAACCATACCTATTATAGTTTCCTAAAAGTGTGTTTCGTTTGTATAATAAACCCTTAGTGAAAATGTTCACTTGTTATGAAAAATATAGTTTTTGTAGTGCCAAAACCGACACACATAAATATAGTATAAACAGAGTGTTTGATTTATATAAACACATAAATCATTTCTTATTTCAAAAGATAAAATGTTGTCGTGGTATAATTTGCATATGAAAGTTTTCCTATAATAGTTATAAATCACATATGATTCCGTTGATAAAATGCGTATAGTGAAAGTTTATATAACAGACAATAATAATCGAGTGTTTTACTTGTATCCCCCCCCCCTAAAAGCATATAAAAGTACTCATAAAACATTTAAAAGTGTGAATTATAGGGGTATGAACTCACTTGAAAGATCGGAGGAGACGGGATGAAAGCCGGACAGAATTTCGACTCGAGAAAGCGGATTTCCTCGGGATTCTCGGGAATCTCAGGAGCACAAACGACCTTCGGGACTTGAGCAAAGTGATCGGGGCTTCGGGGTAGCACGGGCACGGAAAACGAGGCAAGAACGCAAGAGAAATGAGAGAAATGGTGCCCTTTCTTCGAAACCCTCGCATCCCTTTTATAGGGGCTGGGAACCGCCTCGGTACGCTGGGCGTACGCGTGCATCACGCATGACCGAATCCTCGACTGCCTCGGAGCTCGGATGGGACGAGGCATAGCCTCGCATAGGGCGCGACGTGGACGATCCGAGGCTAAGGCCTCGAGTACGCTGGGCGTACTCGCGTGACTCAGCCTTCGGATAATACCGAAGATTTCAATAAAAAAAAATATATTTATTATCTAATAAACTTCAAAAATTCATATCTTCTTCATACGAACTCCGTTTTTGACGTTCTTTATATCCACGCATAGGTGAGACCATACTCTACAACTTTCGTTTAGATCCCGTCGGCAAATTTTGAAATTATTTTTATTTTTTATTTTTAAAAGGTCGCGGTAAGAAAATTTCTTTAAAAATTCATAACTTCTTTATCTGACGTCAGTTTTTGTCAGACTTTTTACCGTTGAAATACTATTGTCGACAGGGCCGGCCCAACACATGGGCGAGTTGGGCGGCGACCCAGGGCATTAAAGAGGAGAGGGCATCAGCTTAGCCCATCGTTTATTATGACGGCCCAAATAAGTTCAGCATCCCCTGCTATCGGTTGCGTCGCCTTCAAGACTGTGAGTAGGAGTCTGGTTCTCATCTTTCCTGTCGCTGCCTAGAAAGACAAAAGGTCAAGTTGAAGAAGACGATGAGTCGATTGGTTTTTCCAATCATCGATTTGTCAAGAGGCACTTATGTGGATAGGTAATAACTATATACTCTCTCCATGTGTACTGTTTATGTCAAGAACACAAGAAGAACAATAATTTTCTTAAACTCTCCTCTCTCGTCTCCCTATTTCTGAATACACCTCCCTATCCCTATTTCTATGACTTTGCTAATGTCTCTGCTATCTAAACTCATCAGACCTCACTCATCACTCACCCCCTCATAATCTGATTTCTATTTTATCTAATTTCTCTAATTTCTGGTTTTTAGATATCGAATTGGTTGTGGATTCTCCAATTCCTGATTTCTAGGACTGCAATCTAAAGATTCCTAAGAGTAAAGAGGGATTTCTGAATTTCTGATTGGTTGATAATTAGACTCAAGGTATAATTTTTATGCCCAACTTATAATTTCTTATTTTCTAGACTTATGATTTCCAGATTTCTAGAGTTCGTGTATTTATTTTCATATTTTTGTGTTTTGATTCAGGACTAAGGAGTTTTTTTTTTTTTTTTTTTTTTTTTTTTTTTAGTTTAGAGTTTGGTGGAGCTATATACTTTGCAAGTATTTAGAAAAATTGATTCTAATTTCTAATTAGTTTTTTTTGATTCATTAGTTTTTCTGATTCATTTGTTCAGGTTGTAATTCATACTCCCCCATTATTTGAACCTGCTGTAATTTTGAAACTACTGTGATTTAGAAACCTGTTGTCCACTTGATTACTTGACCATTTGGATATTTGGATAGGAGATTTGGAGTTCAAAGCTACTTCCTTAATTTTGTAGACTACTCATCCTTTTTGGCTAAAATATAAGTATTACCAGGTTTATATGTAGTGCTTCAAAATTTTAAACTTGATTAAGGATTCATCATTATTTAATCAATTATTAATATCTTGTTTTAATTTTCAGTAGGACATGCATAGTTTGGTTTTGGCTTAGTTATTGTAGATAGTGTGAGATAGATTTTCAATAGGTAAAAATGTTGTGATAATGTATTTACTTTTGAAGGGTATAAATGTAAAGTTGTACTTATATAGAATTTAATTAAATAATTTTTTTTACTG